GCTTACGTAGATTTATGTGTCTTTTCTTCGATAGCTAGATTTTAGAATATAATTCTCTTGTATTCAAAATAAATGAAAACTGGTCGATCAGTTTGCATAATTCTCAGTAATTTTTATTGGTTGTTATGTGCAAATGTTCCCAAATTTTGGCATTGATTTTCTTTGATTCTTTTGGGGTATTTGGTTCAACAAAATTTTTAGCATTTGAGGTGCCTTCGAAATTCTTAAAACAAACATGTCTCATTTTCATTTATGGGATTCCATATAGTGTTGGTTTCAAAAAAATTGGCATTAGGTATCCATAAAATAAAAAAAAGTAGAAATATTAGGGATTTGCCAAATCCTACAATTTTGAAAGGATTTGTCAAATGCTAAAAATTTAAAGTTTTGGCATTAGATATCCATACATTTTGTACTTTTCTATATTTTAGAATTTGAATCAATTAACAAATTATAATTTATAGAATTTATTTTCCTCTAATCAAGTTGAACCAAATATAAGATTATGAACTCAAAATAAAAATATGTTAAAAACACATAGATTTGAAATTCTTGATGAGATTCCAAATCCTATAATTTTAGGATTTGAAGCAAACAACCCTTTTCTGTCTTTAATAATAATAATTAAATAAAGAAACATCATATGAGATTTTTTTGGGATCCTCTCAGTTGGGCATTGAAATGGGGGGAGAAAATCTAGCAGCAGTTGCTTAAAGTGATTGCCGAATCTCACTCTCCCTCTGATTGGGCCGCCTAGCTCTTGCTTTCACTTGCACGTGGGTACGAGTTATAAAGGACAAATAGTAAATCACAACCTGCAGGCAACATCCATTAGATTTGTAACCTTTGCTAATTTTAGAACCGCATCCAACCCCATAAGCTTTAAGGGGCTGTTTGGTTCCTGTTTTTTAGGTGGTAAAAGTGGGAAAAGCTGTCAAAAATGTCAGCTTTTTGGCAGCTTTCCCCCAAAATCACCTGTTAAAAAGGTGATTTTAGGTGAAAGCTGCGCGATTTTGGGTGAAAGCTGCCAAAAAACTGACATTTTTGACAACTTTCTCCTTTTTTACCACCCAAAAAAACCTATCCAAACAGCCCCCAAGGGTATTGCACTAAACCTTCTTAAACCCCTTAAATTTAGTGTTGCATATAACCCTCTAAATTTTTTATTCCATTAATGTATTAGCAGAATTAAAAATTAAGAGGATTATGTGCAATGACGCCTAAAGTTCAGGGTTTGGTGTAACTAAAAAGTTAAAGGGAGTTATGTGACATAACGCCTAAATTTTGACATAATTAAAAGGGAAAAATGCTTCCAGCCCCCAATTTCGTAATAAGTATGCTTCCCCCTCCCAAGACTTTTTCAACGCTCTCAAAACCCCTAAATTCATAATAACTATGCACTGAGCCCCCAAAACACAAAGCCCAAGAATTTTACACAGGTAAAGACTATAATGCCCATTCTCTTTCTCACCATGCAATCCCTCTACTCTCCTTCCCCCACCATTTTTTCCCTAGCCCCCTCCGTCCCTTCCACAACCCTCGTGGCGGCCGAAGCTCCTCTCCGGTCTCGCGCCTCGACCCCTCGCCTCCGCTCGCCGAGATCCGTCATGTCCACCGCCGATCCCAGCACGACCTCCGCTCGACCCCTCGCCTCCGTCCCCAACCCAATCCCTCAGGTCCATCATCCTCGAAAAACCCTACCACGTGCTCTCGAGCTCGTCCAGTCCGGCTCTGGCCGCCTCTCCGACCACGTGCAGGAGGAGCTCGTCCCAAGGCGGCAGAGTACAACAGCAAGAGAGTAGAGCTCGAGAGCGGCTTGCCGCTCAAAGGAGTGATTTGGACGAGCTCAGGGCACGCGACGTGGCACTGCGAAGGCCTTTTCATGCTCTCCTTCTTGTATTCCATCTGATGGTCCCATATCGAACCAGGTACCCACCCTCACAAAAGCGGTCAAACATTTCATCCAGCGACGTGAACGGAGCATTAGGGGGCCTGCTAGCATTCGTAAAGTGCCAAAAGGGGACGAGCGCATCCTTAGGATCCCGGCTGACCTAGACGACACGAGTGGATTTCTTGAAATTGAGGGAAAATATTCAATTCATTTGTTTATTAATTTTCTGATATTTGAGGTTTGATCTATTTTTGAAGAACAGTTATTATAACCAGCAACTTTAATTTGGGTTTTTTTGGGGTTATAGGCTCTATTTTACTCGTGTAAAATTAGGAATCAAGAACGGAAAGAATCAAGATCGGGTCGGTTGTGAAGGATACGCGTTGGTTGTGAAGGATACAGATTGGTTGTGGAGGTTACGAATTGATTGTTAAGATTACGGGTTGATTGTGGAGGTTACGGGTTGGTTTGTGGAGGTTACGTGTTGGTTGTGGAGGTTACAGGTTGATTGTTAAGTTTACGGATTGATTGTTAAGGTTACGGGTTGGTTTGTGGAGGTTACATGTTGGTTGTGGAGGTTACGGGTTGATTGTTAAGGTTACGTGTTGGTTGTTAATATTACGGATTGATTGTTAAGGTTACAGAGTTGGTACATAAAGCCTATAAAGTTTGATACGTAAACGTACTCGTCCTCTTGATTCATTCAAAGCCTCTGACCAGATTCTTCACGTGAGCCTGCAATAGTTACTAGTACTCCTCAACAGTACTCGTTACATCCACTATTTGATATTAGTCCATCAAATCTTTGGTATTCCTAAATAAATCCTTAAAATCATTGAAATGGCTCTAATCAGAAAATTAAGTCATGTAGCTATTTTAGATCTGGGCCCTTAATTCATAAAGATGTCATTATGTAACTCAATTCTCATAATGGGCGAACTAATTTCAAAGTAAACTCAATTTACAATCAACCCGTAACCTCCACATAAATCTGGGCCCTTAATAATATAGGCTTTATGTACCAACTCGAAGGATACGGATTGGTTGTGGAGGTTACGAATTGATTGTTAAGATTACGGGTTGATTGTGGAGGTTACGGGTTGGTTTGTGGAGGTTACGTGTTGGTTGTGGAGGTTACGGGTTGATTGTTAAGTTTACGGATTGATTGTTAAGGTTACGTGTTGGTTGTTAATGTTACGGATTGATTGTTAAGGTTACGGGTACCTGGTTCGATATGGGACCATCAGATGGAATACAAGAAGGAGAGCATGAAAAGGCCTTCGCAGTGCCACGTCGCGTGTCCTGATCTCGTCCAAATCAACTCCTTTGAGTGGCAAGCCGCTCTCGAGCTCTGCTCTCTTGCTGTTGTACTCTGCCGCCTTGGGACGAGCTCCTCCTGCACGTGGTCGGAGAGGCGGCCGGAGCCGGACTGGACGAGCTCGAGAGCACGTGGTAGGGTTTTTCGAGGATGATGGACCTGAGGGATTGGGTTGGGGACGGAGGCGAGGGGTCGAGCGGAGGTCGTGCTGGGATCAGCGGTGGACATGACGGATCTCGGCGAGCGGAGGCGAGGGGTCGAGGCGCGAGACCGGAGAGGAGCTTCGGCCGCCACGAGGGTTGTGGAAGGGACGGAGGGGGCTAGGGCAAAAATGGTGGGGGAAGGAGAGCAGAGGGATTGCATGGTGAGAAAGAGAATGGGCATTATAGTCTTTACCTGTGTAAAATTCTTGGGCTTTGTGTTTTGGGGGCTCAGTGCATAGTTATTATGAATTTAGGGGTTTTGAGAGCGTTGAAAAAGTCTTGGGAGGGGGAAGCATATTTATTACGAATTTGGGGGCTGGAAGCATTTTTCCCTAATTAAAAAGTTTAGGTGGCGTTTATTTGCAACAATGCCTAAAGTTCTGGGGGTTGAGCCGTATTAAAAAGTTCAGGGGGGTTAGCTCAAAATGCCCAAAGTGTTCGAGGTTTTCTAAAATAAACCCTTAAAATCAGAAAAGCATATAAAATCCATAGATTACTATCTTTTGTAACTGGTAGCCACGTATAAATGAAAACAAAGAGTTTTCTGGTCCAATAGGAGGGCGAAAGCAAAGACCAAGTGGCCCAATAGGAGGGCGAGTTAGATTTGTGGTTGCTTTGTGCGACTGCAGCTCGAGTTTCTTTGAAATGGGTTTATAGACAAAATTTGTCGAATCAGATTGAACACAAATTTTGGTGACCAAATATTTGGGATTTTACTTCGGTTTGAAAGTATATGTTGTTTGTTTGATCAGCTACAATAATTTTATGCTCTCAACTTATTATAACATCATCATAAATTTATAAGTTCATATCCTATACTGGAATATAAATTGCATATAAAAATTAAACATAATTTAACATCAAATATATTTTTATATTAGCATACAAATTCATCAAATATATATTTTATATTCAAGTTATTAAATATAAAGTTTGCATATATTGAACAATATAATCTACAGCAAAATTAGCATATAATGATATAAATTTTATGTACTTTCACTAAGATATAAACATCACAAAGATTCAAATTATTAAAATATATCTTAGTTTATAATTGACATCTGTACCGATTCACATAGAATTTTCTTCATTTTACTTTGAAATTTATATACTTTTATATGTAAAAATACTCAATACTTCTAATATTTTAGATTAATCCTTTTTTTTTACCGACTTCCTCATTTTCATGTTCATGAAATGAATTAAAAATATAAAATAAGTATGTCCACATGTAAAGCACGTGCACTATACTAGTATCTAAAATAGTCCTATGTTATCATAGCTACGGAATGTAGTACTTTTTCTTAGCTTGTTATATTTTTGTATTTGTTTTGGCAGGATAGAAGAAGATTGACATACTGTTTCATCATCGGGATTTTGTAGAGGAACGTTTATACACTTGATTCATAGCCGGGATTTGTATAATTGTTTCGTTTCTGAAGACATGAAGTGTCGAAGAATATTCATATAGTTTTTCTAATGAACCAGCTCGAAATATTTCGAATCATAACACCAGATGCCTCACTGTGTGTGCGCGTGAAAGGGGAACAGATCACCACTAACAGTATTTCACCAGTCACCACACTTAAACAAAAAATAGAGTTTAGCATCGCTCTTGATTTCTTATTCAAAATATACACTACAATCACTGGAGAAATGCGTTTTAACAAAGAAACACCTATTGTCTCTCTCCAAGTTTTCTTCTGAGATAGAGACAAGTAAAAGCTTTCCTTTCATTTACATCTCATATTTACAGAGTCAAATATACTAGACCTACAAAAATTCACTTCCCTCCTGCAGCCCGCGCTCCTGCAGCTTCACCGCTGCTTCAAATATAGAGTCGTCATACATATAAGGGCAAATTGAAGATTAACCTATGTCTATATCTTCAGTAGCACTTACGACCCTGGATTCACACTTCAAGAAGGATATACTGCAGATGACCTCACGCTCGCTCTCCCTTATGAATTGAGAGGTAATAAGCGCTAATAAATGAACTGAAGGATGATAAGTGCTGAAGATATAGATAAGGAGGTTACATGGAACATATGCTACATATTATCATATAATATAAACCTATACCTGGACTATAATTATGAATTCTAGATCTGTAACTTGATGCAGCTTCTGTACAATAATGCAGCTTCCATCCATCATCTGGGAGGCCAAAAAATCATACTGTGACTGACTTTGGGAAAGCAAGGAGAAAAACTCTTTGCATAAATGGGGCATTTTGAAAATTATATCACCCATTCTGCAGCTATAAGTCAGTCTTCAACCCTCACTACTTCAGTGACTGCAGTGTTACAAAAGAAGCACCTTGGGCTGTTCAAGAGGTGCCTTGTGATACAGCCGTAGCAAGATTTGTGGTGGCACGGCTTAAAGATGGCATCCGCGTTGCAGGCATAACAGATGCAGCAACAACTATCCTGTTCCTCGTCATCAGACTGGATTAATGAATCCCCACTCCTACTTATGTTCATCAGGAATTTTGAGAATTCTTCGAGCTGTGCTAGTTTGGCATGAGCAGCATCTCCTCTTAAGAGATTGCCCTGCGTAAAGTGTGACAATGTCAGAAATAAATAATATCAGTCATTCGTCTGGTATACAGAGCGGTGCCATAATGAGGACATTGTTTCATGAATTTATAATCAACTCTTAAAGGTACAAGTAAAATGATAAAATAGAAGCAACCTTAAAAGAAGTGAAGCTAGAAACACTAGCCTACGGGATATGAGATATCAAGATCGATTAGACTACATTAACCTGACAAATAGAACAATGTGACTGTACATTCACTAGACTACTAGTCATGTCATTATGGAATGGACAATGTACTCAAATCCAACAAGACAACATAAAGCAAGTTCAGCAAACTGACTATAATCCCTCATAAAGTGACTTGCAGATTAGTAAAACTAAATGTAGTTCCTGATGCATAGACAACATTAGCAAGTCGTTGACAAATCCAAACTTAATATGGGCCAAGTCAACTTGGTGTAGGCTAGACTGGAAAGACATTTATGCTCCTATTATAAACCATGAATATATAATGGATCTTAACTATATCAAGTTGTTGACAGGAAGAGGTCAGTATCCATATTGAATTAGTACTTTGAGAAGCATGTTGACGACATATGTGGCTCCAATCACGCATGCACGCGCGCCCACCCACACATCAGGAGTGAGGGAGTTTGGTTCACATGCAATTACAACTGCAACTTCAGTTGCAATTTGCAAGAGGACAGATGTGGATCTATTTATTGTGCTGTAATTTGCACGCAACTGCAAATAGAGAAAACAAAAAACAACTTGCAGCAAACGTGGCCATGAAATCTGTGTTCGCAAAAACAACCTCATTTGCAAAAGGAGTTGCCACCAAAAAATACATTACAGTAAAACAAACAATACACTGTGAGGTCATGGTCTTTGCAAATGTAAACCACAAATGCAACTTTCAGCAAACAAACGACCCCAGTAGGACACACACAAAAAAAATAAAAAAAATGATGAAAAAAATAACACCTTCTCTTCTCTTCCCTCAAAGTATTTATACATTTTTTACGTCTTCCAGCAATTTCAGCTTCGATGAAATTGAAATTACTGCATGTAGTTTGCTGTTTTTTTTTAAACGTTAACAGAATTGTCGAGTTTGTGGAACTGTAACAATAAAGTAATTCTTCTATGGTGTTGTCAATTAAACAAGAAGTGTCTCCAAATGTATTCCACATTTCCAGCTTGTACATACATTAACTTGTGCAACACAATCTGCTAACATACTACCCAGTACAGGCCACTCAGGGCCCAGACACGGCATCCAGATGTAGATATGACATTGAACTAAATGTAGATTCTATTCTAGTTTGACGTCATGTATCTTCGACAGGTTCATAAATAAGGGAGATTTGCAAGATCAAAACAAGGTTCACGAAGTATTACCCAATTGTAACCTAGCAAGTACTGAAATCCACAATGCACAGTAACAGGACAATCCATACTTGCGAATATAGAAATAATATCATTTAGCTCCTTGCTTTCTGAAATTGCACTTGCATCCATGAGGTTAAGAATAATTCCCACAAGTGGTGCCAGGATCATGGTTCTGTTTGTCTTCTCTTGATAATGCCCAGGTCGCCTAAGTGACCTGTAGAAATGGCAGAACAAAATGAAGGTCAAATAAGAGAAAATGGTAGTTGTAAGCAGAGAAATCAGTATCATGCTTATTTATACATTGTGCTTCTAGTAGGCCTGGATCAGGCCCAAGTTCGAAGACATTAAGAATAGCTCTTGAGGCTTGAGCAGCATGACAAAACCAAGGTCCAAAGCAAGGTTTCGAAGCACATGTTCGCTTGGCTTTTGGTCCACCTTATTGGAGTTCAGTATCGACCAGTTTTGGCACTTCCATTGTCGTGTCTGCTTTGAATATATTATTATTTTAAAAAGTGTACTTCTTTTAGGATTCATTTACTTATTTTTCCAATCCCTTGTCCTCTACTATATAAACTGCAAAGATGCCAAAAAAAGTAGCGAAGACCTACGTAGTGCTAGACGTATGAAGACTTAAAAGAGTGACAGATCATAAATAAAAAACGATTAAATTAAAAAACAGTATATTTTTTTAATTTTTAATGCGATAGCACAGGAACATCCGGGAGAATCAGGTAGCTCAAACCATGATAGGATTATAGCCACTATTGAAAATTAGGCTTGATTAGGTTAACTGGTTAAGTATGCTCCAAAGAAAATGGGAATTGGAACAGCTGCAGGACGGATAACATTCCAATTGAAGTTGGGAAGTGTCTTCAAGATCCTGATTTAGTATGGTTCACAAAGTCACTTAAATAAAATTAAACGAATGAAGGATATGCACAAGGTACCGATATGCAAGAATAAAGGAGATATAAAAGATAGCTCAAATTATCAAGAAACAAGTTTATGAGCCGTATAATGAAACTTCATAACTGAGTCGAGCAAAGTAGTTTATAAAAGAAACATCTGTATTTATAAACAGTTTGCTTTTATATCAGGAGGTGAAGTGGGAAGCTATTTAAATACTATGATAATTGATGGAGAGGCATGGGAGAAGAACGGAGATGACTACGTGCCTTAATTCCGAGCATAGGATTATGGCCGCTTGACCAATGAGAAATCGAGAGAATCCTGGGAAAACTTGAATGAAGCCAGTTAAGAAGAAGGAAATATGATGCTGGTTAATTAAACAGAGAATAACGCTTAGCAAAGCTGAGTGAAAGAAAAAGCAATCATGTATACAAACCCAAAATGTTGTTGTCATTAGGCTTGCACAACTGGGCGTGACAACTGTAGAAACAAGTTTTTCTTGATCCTCCCTGAATATCCATTATAGTGGCCATATTCCTATCTTCAAAAAGATCATGCACACAACCCCAAAATGTTGTTTATTAGGCTTCCTAAACTGTCAAGCCAAAACTTTTTTAGGTCCTTCAGTATCAATTATAGTTACCACCAACCCTATTCCACCTTGCTTTCAACATAAGAACCATAACATACAGAATTCAATCCATTCTGCTTATGGTAATCACATGTCCTATTGTGCATGCCCAAATGGTGATTTTCACCGTTCAAATTTGCATCTAGAATCCCTTGAATTTTCTTTATATAAGATACGGGTCCTTCCTTCTGGGTTTAACATGCATTAGTAATAAGTTCGCCACAGAATCTTACACCTTTAACATACCTGGGAAGAGTGCATGCCTATATTACAGAACAATATTTTTTCTTTGAAACTTACATGTCAAGAAACTCAGCATCTGCAACTGAAATTATGTGGTTCAGGATGAAGATGATCAACTCAGTCAGCCTCCGAAGGTTCATATCAGGGCCCAAGAGGAATGCTTGAGGAATCTCATGCGTACAAAATTCTAGAATTCTTGCGAGATTGCATGAGAGATCAAAAACAACTCCACATTTTCTTTGTTGCAATTCACCAACCTGAACAGCAGAACATCATCCGTCAATATTTCCACAACTTTAGCATCAAACAAAAGCATTCGGTTATCAAGAAGTAGGAAAGCAGCATGATTTAATGGTTTCAGTGTGTGTTCTCCCTTGCTATATAATAAAAATAAGAAGATAAGCAGTCTTATCCTTTTCAAAATAAGAGAATGTCCTTTTTGAAGAATTTGGAATTTGATGAACCTTTTTGAAGCGGAGAATTTTTTTAAAAAGACCTTTTCAAAAAATAATTAGCAAGGTTGACTTCTTTTTGGCCAGCTGGCCAAAAAGAGGTCGATTTTGTAAAATATCAACTTTAATATACACGGATTAGTAGTCCTGTGTAATGAGTCCTCGCTAATTAAACCTAACTAGTCTCATGTAATTAGTTCTCATTAATTAAACCTTAACCATTTCAGCACAAAGTATACATGACTACCACTTTAGATTAATCGTAACTACGATCACTAATTACACAGGATTATTAGTCATGTGTATTTTAAAGTCGATATTTTGCAAAATCAACCTTCTTTGGCTAGCCGAGATAACATGGGGAAAAAGAGATCGAATTTGCTAAATATTTTCCAAAAAGTCTGTTTTGCTAATATTTTCCAAAACAGTCTTTTGTAAAAAAATTCTCCTTTTGAAGCAGGAGTCAAAAGCCAAAGTCAGCTTAAGCAGAAGGCCCCAAAGCCAACGCTGAGAGAAGCCAGAAATTATTCCGTCCTTAGACGCAGAACCAATAAGCTCCAGTTATTCTTTGTTCTTATCTTTGGCTCCCATTTACACTAGCCGAACCTGGTTTTCCAACTGAAATCACCATCTCCTCTCTCTCTCTCTCTCTCTCTCTCTACCCTTCACTTCCATCCTTAAAAGTACCAAAAATATATGGTCTCCACTCCACTGTAGCCCTGACGATGCCGCCCTCCTCCAGTCCTCCCACACAACCCCGACAAAAATAAAACTAACTGCTAAAATTTTAACAGTAATTATGTTAAGGACAATTTGGGGAGTTGAGGGGCAAATTAACGATTACAATGTCCCTTTTCCATGTCTTTTTTTTGTGTGTATGTGTGTATGTCGTGTGTGTGTGTGTGTGTTGTTTGGGGGGCGGGGTGGGGGGTGTTATCTGTGGGAACTCTGGTGGGACATGAAATCATGATTGGGAAGAAAATCAATGGTCAAAGTGATAGCTGCTCAGGAGGTAGAATAATCAAAACTGATTATAATTTTAACATATAATATAACACATATTAGTAGTTAACTAAACAAGACAGGTAACATCTGTAACATCTGAAATGAAACAAACTAAGAACTATAATTAAGATAGATAATGAATAGGCAACAGCAAGACACTTAAGTTTAAGTCAAAAACAAAGGAGTTAGCATTCACAACAATTGTACAGTAAGTTACCTAATCTACATTAACCAAGAAAGCAGTTCAATAAACCAGATGATTATTCAGAATAATAGAACCCACAGCAGGTGACCGGGACGGTTATGGCTCTCATGGTCTTGGGTTCGATTCAGAGTTGGGTTATCAAAAAAATATATATTCAGAATAATAGAAGGAAATAAATAGTAGTAACCTGGTAATTTTCTTGCATCTCTCGAATGGAAACAGAGAATTCAGTCATTGTCCAGCTAAGGGTATTGAAAAGACGATTGAGGAAAGAAGAAAATAATTCTTCATCCTGACTGCACGCTTCTCGTAGTAACACCTTCATGATGACAGACATCAGACAGACTTGGGTAATTAAAGATAGTGAGAGAAGACAGTATTACATATAAGTGTGCAAAGTAACAATTGGTTATCAAACCTGGAAACGAGATGATGTTGAATACTCTACATGCTTTGATGAACAAAATCCAGAACCTTTGCACAGCCGAAGAAGTATATTTGTAACTGGAATCCATGATCTGTTATCAAATGCTGAGAGCAATGCCTTTGGCATTCTATTGACAGCTTCATTATTGTTCTCAAAAGCAAGCATATAGTCCTTGTACTGTACCAGGACAGAAATTGATTGGAGAAGAAGATCTTTTATGTCGGAACTCAATATGCGTGGATCATTGAAGTGTTTGACAATAAGAGTAACCTAAAAGAAGAACAAATTCCAACTGTTATCAATTTCCATATAAAAAGGGGCAGACCCAACAACATCAAGAACCAATATGTGGCTGGAAGGAGAACAATAAAAAACAAAAAGAAATATCAGCAAGATAATACTGATCTCAGACAAGTGTTCCTTGAAGGCTTGCTAGAACTAGGATGATTAATAGATACTATGCAATCTCCTAACAGTATAGCACAAGACACATTCAGAAAATGTCACTGCATCCAAATACAATAGCCAGATGTTCGACTAAAAAGAAATTTAAATAGTTAATTCACTATCATATACTGGTCAGGAAAGTAATCAAAGATTGTAAAGCTGTAAAGTGCAAATGATAAGATAAAGAAATCAAAGTTCCACGTATACAAGAAATTAAGTTACTGTAAATCTATCAGCAAATTTGGGTCAAAATATTTACTAAAACAAAGAAGAAAATGTTTTTTTAGGATAAGGTCCCCAATATGTTTGTCAATATCTACTAAAATACCCAGGAGATTTAGATTTGTATCAGTGAGAAATACTATTTTTAACTTATACTTGTTTTAGTCAAAAACTGAAGTCTATTATCAGCTAGGTTGCATGGGTATGGGTACGGTTATGGGCCAGGGAGATCTTGTAAACCATAGGGTACAGGTATACGGCTATACTTATTTTTTTATACTACAAGTATAAATTTTTGCATGCCAAACTAGCTTAAAAAGTGCACTTTTTAACTCTTATGACAAAGTCTACCCCAAGTCAGACCCGCCATTTTGAACTCCTACTATCTTGAGTTTTTTGGAACAGTTTTAGTTACTTGAGAAAAGCCCAATTCAAGGCCCACGGCAGTTCACATAATAATCAGAAAGAATAATTGGACTTACTTGAATAAAGCCCAAGCCCACAACAGGTTCAATAGTACAATAGCCAAAAACACTACTCAGTCTTTATGCCAACTCATCAATCCATGACTAAAAAAACACACATCATCTCAACTGTCCATTGTGTCCAATATCAATGATCGACAACAACTCCGAATTAACCACTCTCCCAAGGATCAACATACAGATCCCCAAATTATCTCTCTCTCTCTCTCTCTCTCTCTCTCTCTCTCTCTCTCTCTCTC